CCAGCAGGGCTGGCTGGGGAATTCTGGGAGTTGAAGTCCACCCATCTGAAAGCTGCCAAGGCTGAGAAACCCTAGGCTATGCATTTTGCCAAGGTAAAATCTAGTTTCTGCACAGTCAGCTGCTGATGAAGACATGTAATTTTCTTCAAAGCACAATATGGGGCTGCAGTGTGATTGCTATTCCTGATATCTTCACTGAATGGCTGGGCTGCTGAGCATACAGTACAGTTTGTGCCATGCAGGAGACAAAAACAATCAACACCCTTCCTACCCTAAAATTAGTAAATCAATATTCTGGGCTGGTTCAAGGCCCCATATATAAAAGTCTTCCTAATTTTACATCTGTAAGATGACCCTGGTTGAAGGCTATATGTGGTGTGAAATCAATCCCTCCTCCAGCTGTATATTTGAAAATTAAAATACAAAAAAAAACCAAAAACCACCAATTCCCTGGAGTTTTTCAGAGAAAGAGAGGATGCTGAGAAGATGAGCAAGCTGGAAGGAACAGCTTTATTCCTGCTAATTACCTGGGACCCTTTTATCTGAACATCAAAGTCCTTGCATAGATAGACACATAAAGTAATAGCACAGTGGAAACTCCATTTCAGGGTTACATCCAACCTCTCTCTGTCATAAAGACAGAAGGTTTACATTACATGCTTGAGTTTTATTGTACAATTTGCAGCAAAACTACATCGCAGCATCCATAATGTTAGAGGGACAATTTAGGAGCTGGACAAGGGAGAAAGGCAGAAGATGACACTGATTTGCATATGCTGAGATAGATAGATAGATAGATAGATAGATAGATAGATAGATAGATAGATAGATAATTTGGGATTACCTGATCCCAAATGACCAATATGCCTATTTAGTCTCTTGTTCAGATTATTATTAGTCCTGGTTTAGAGAAAGAAAGTGTTCCTTGTTTCTGTCCAGGATGTCAGAAGATGGCCAATTTTAACCTACCTCTTCTCCTGTCTTTTCCACAGTAGCAGCATCAGATATTAGATGTGCTGAAGTTAGGGTTCTCTAGATCCTGGGGTTCCCTTAGAGTACCATGAATTTGAATTAATATAAAGGGTTGCCAACTTACTAGAAAAGTAATGTTCTTTTAGTAACAGCTAGGGAAATCACCAGCTGAGGTTTTTGACAACAGAGAAATTAACCTTGTTAGGACTACAAAATCTGGGATAGTGAAGATGGCAGGACTTGCATAAATGGACCTGATTGATCAGGGATAAGACGACAAGTATTTTTGTAAAAGACTGGAAACCTCTTATGGACGTTTTTGCTGAAAATGGAAAAAAATGAATTGGTGATTTATGGATTTGCTGATTAAAAAGGATTGAATTTTGGAAGAAGAGAACCATGTTGTAACTGTAAAGAGGGAGGAGAGATAATGAATTAGTTTGTAACTGCTGCAAAGAAGATTGGAATTCGGGTTTGTTTTTTTTCTTTTCTTCTTTTCTTTTCTTTCTACCTGCACTGTCTTTTCTACTTCTTTTAATTTTTATTTCTCTTTCTTTCTTAATTTTACTCTATATAATTTCATGTTTATCTTTTACTTATGTGAAAATCTTATATATGTAGCGACTGGATAGCATAGTGGTTAGAGCGCTGCCCTTTGATGCAGGAAACTGGGGTTCAAATCCCAGGTGGTACCTACGTTACCAGTAGGGCTCCTTGGGCAAAGACCCCCTAATGCTTCATCTGCCTACCTCGGATATGAGAGTGACATGAACTAAGAGAGTGATGCCGGCTCAGACATCACCCAGATTAACAAGGTCTGTGCCAGATGTTGGGGAACTAAGGCAATCTGGCAATAAGTGGGCTACTGGAACAAACCATACGTGGATAAGACAAGAGAACCTGAAATTGATGGAATGCTACTATAACAATAGACCTAATGAGAAAGGATATATGAAATGTATGAGGGAACTATGGATGGACAGAAGACTAACTGAGAAACAGCTAGTTACCCAATGCTTCAACTTAGTGAAGAGGAAGCTGCTCTCACAACTTGAGATAGACCAACTACACATTACATCCCGGACTCAAGAAGATCTGGAAGAACAACTGGATGTGCAGCCAACACCTGAAGCTGGAATGTCACCGCCACCCTCTCCACCACAGAGCACAGCAGCTGATATGAAGCATAAGATCATGGATAAACTAGCTACAGTCAACTCTCAAGATCGATTTTCAAAGCTAGAAGTATAGTATGCCAAGCCATCAAATAGTGTGCTAGAAGATGCCAATAGAGCCTCATGACAATCCCTACTACCACCATAACTCAAACCAATAAACTGGTATACGCTACAGCCACTGTAATTGGCTTGGCTACACAATCAAGAAGAACAGTAGTACGTAGCCAACCCCTGGAAAATGAGGTTGGAGGCTAAGTTCAAGGCAACTCAGAGAGACGTTAGTCAGCTGGTGGAACTACAGAAGGGTGTGGAGATTAAGGATAAGACTCGACTACTGAAAAAATAC